CACAATGAATTCAAGTATTTTTGGAAGCAAATATTTAGGTACTTTCTTATGACAGAATTATTCCGTTGATAGTTTGCAGGCGTTGCTCCTTTTTATTTTGATCGGTTCTGCTTTTTCCTACAAAAATGCTGAAATTTGCTGTTCAACTAGGATTACTGTACAGTAATTCACTACTGATGAAGAACAGTAAATCAAGATCATTTTTTAAAAAATCAGAATGCTGATTTGGAAACCTCATTCTTCCCTTACACTCTATGAAATAAACTGATTACATGTCTAAGGGACAGAAAGAAAGAGGAGAGGGGAAAATACAGAAGGGCATTTTTTCCCAGCAATTTCTCCCCAAGCTTTATAGATAACTAGATTTTAAATTATCTTTGTGGATCGTGCCTTCTCTCTATAAAATTCCTTGAGTAACTGCAGCTGAACTTGCATATCGCTCGGGCAATGTGTTTTGCATGGGTACCATGGTACATATTGAAATGTTGATACCTTATTTTCTATAGTGTCCTACCACTTGACTTTGTTAAAACAAAGATAACTGTGACCTAAGTAATTTCCCATATATTACAGCAAATCAAAAAAGCATTGAAAAGACTATTTGACTGATACCCTGTTTTTAAGTAACCCAAGATGCTGAAGCTAAACTTCATGAATGAGAAATAATACTAAACTGTCAGTGGCCATGTCTACTAGACTGGTGAGAATGGCTCTTCTTATCTGTTAAAATTGGTGGATCTGGCTAAACAAAAACTGAAACTAAGGCTCCCCCAAATACCGCCCCCCCCAACCCGTCAGTGCTCCCTCGAGCAGTGTTGGTAGTTTCCGATCCCGCACTAGGAATCACTCTGCAAAGAGATGGTTTCTGCTCAGGGCTGGGGTCAGCGCAGGTGCTCTGCTCACTGAACTTCAAGGGTGAAATCCTAGTTATACAGAAGAAAACTGGCTTTGTTATGAATCCTACCAGGGAAATAAACTACTCACAAAGTCTTTTATTTGGAATGTTAAATTTCTTTTAGATCCAGTGTTCAAATAAGTGCATTATACAACACAGCTTATCAATATTTTCTTTCAGCCCAGTAACGTTTTAATATAATGGAAAATCTAATTGTTGAAGTGAAAAATTCTGAGTGCTTCAAAGTACTAAAGTAAAAGAGGGAAAACAAATATTGTTATTTACTTGATAATATAATCAGTTAGTTAGATAAGGTGATTGCCTTAGACTAGGAGCCTGATTAACAGTATTATTTATTAAAAAGTCAAATTTGGATAAAATTGGATTGAAGCAAGAACATTTTGCTAGCATGTCTGAAATAATACATATATTCTGAAGACAATATTTAAATGTTATAAGGAGATAAACATCTTAATGGTCTCTCAACAGTGCAGCTCTCTCTGTAAAACTTGACCTCAAATAATGATAGAAAAGTAATGTACAACCTAGTTACGCATGTTTATATCCTACTGACATATGCGGGTCATATGTATACACTAGTCCAGAGCTTGGCATTGTAATCGCTTTGATCCCGTGGCTGTAAATTTAATGAGAGAACTTCTCAGTTAACGCAAGGGGGCAAAATCAGGTCCAAAATGCTTTGTGTTGTTATTAAAAAAAAAAAAAAAAAAAAAAATCTGCTAGTATTTGTTCTCACAACCTTTTAAGATATATATTTACCACATTAAAATTTCATAACAAGTATGTAAAACAAATAAAGCTACAGTCCTCCCAGACTCTTTTAGTTCCAGAAAAATACCTACTAGATCTTTCAAGGTTAAGAAAACAATAAAATAAAAGAGTGCCCATTCAGTCTTTTTTTACTTTTGTGTCTTGCATTCATTTTGATTTAAAAAAAAAAAGTTATCTTAATTTGAAATTGGCTATAAAGAAGAACAAAAACATAGACAACAAAGCAGAAAATACCATTTGATTATCATGATTGCATCTTGCACTTGGGTGCACGGTCTGTCTCTAAACTCTGACTCATCTGCCACCAGCAGGCTTTAAGGTGATAATCACCCACACAGAGCTATTTGCACATCATGTCTATCCTATCCTGTATCTAATTATACCCTTTATAACAAACTGTTTAGCATAATTAGTGGCGTTATGCTTTACAGGGAAAAAGATAGAAGCTATAGTTTAGAACATTCAATTTTCTGAAGGCATACAGGTACAGATTAGTAACTTTGGTATTTGGTCACAAAAAGGAACATTTTGATGCATTGGTCTGTAAAATTGTACAATCATTATTTTAGCAAGTAAACCAATGTAGTTTTCAGAATATTTACATACTGTATGTAAGCATTGTTTAAAATTATGAAATAGTTTTGGGACTCATTAATTGCTAATACTTTTACCAGTATTTTTCAAGACATGGCTGAAAAATGCTGAAAGGACCAGCACTGGAATCAAGAATGCTGGAAACGACCAGAGAACCTATTATTCAGCTGATAGACAACAGCAGGTACAAATGACCTTAATGGGAAAGCTCCGATATTCTTTTTTTTTCTTCTAGATGATCAGAAAGGATGTTTACTTAATGACCACTCTTTCTTTGTGTTCCAACTTTAATGACGAGCTGCTTTAATACAAGATCCTTTGAGGTAAAAAAGGAATAGAGAATGATACATATATGTGCACACAAGTAAATGTATTTTACTTTTCTTTGCTCGCTTTCATTGCCGTCTCAGAAGTGTTAAATGAATAGTGCTTGCAGTGGCATCTTCTTTGTATGCTGGCAGTTTAGTCGTCATAACCCCCGCCCCAACCCCATTCTCCTTTTATGCTAGGAAAAGCTTAAAGCACACAAAAGCCAATACCGCCCCCCCGCCCCCATCAGTGTTTGCTGCCAGGCAAAATAAAACCCAAACTGTATCTCCTGAGAGTAACTTCCTGTCCCCAGACGGGGAAAAACTCTGCTGATATGAACACAAACATTGTACTAGCATAGACAAAAGAAGAAATCATGCAGAATCCATTAAAGCAGCCACAACTAATTAATCTTGTTTGGTTTTATGTGTTAATTGTACTTCTGTTAAATTCTCTTAGAGACCAGGATAAATTTATGTGTTCTATCCTTGTTTGACGGTAATTCTGTTATTTAAATCTTACAGGAAAGATGTTCAGAACACTGCGCAAGTACAGCTATTTTCCCCCTGAGCTATTTAAGAAGACACACGTGAAAAAAACAAGCAGAGTATTTGTATTTACTTGTACTCATGAAGAGATGCTCATGCTTCATCCTTTCCAGGTAGGCGAAGAAATTTGTTGAATTCTACCACATATTATTCCAAGATATTTACAGCAGATTAAAGATAAAGCATAGACTTGCAGAAACTCTTGTATTTGCTATGGAATGTTGAACAGAATTTTCTCCATTTGTAGTAGGTAAACTAATTACCCCAGTGTAAAATACAAAGAGGTCAACAATGCATCCTTTCAGGTCACCATTGTTTAAAAGGTATTTGAGTTTCCCTATTAAGTTTTCAAAGGCCAACATCTGCTGATGCTCAGAAATGGTAGATGTGGTGACGAAGGCTGTATGGAGAGTGAAGTGAAAACACAACCATATAGTCCATGCAACACAGCACTAAGAAACTACAGCACAACCAAACTCCAAAGACCTATTTTCCCATTCATCCCATTTCTGTTATTAATGGCAGGAATAGTCCTGAGAACAGTGACACAAACTTCTCATTCATTTAGTTCATTTTTTTCATTATAAAATATATGAATAAACACAACATTCTGAAAACAGGATCTCGCCGAAGGAGATACTACAGCGGGAAATTACATTATTAAGATTGAAGGCTTTCATTTGCATGTTATTGTCATTGATGCTGTTTCACTATTTAAAGCTGCAAAACAGATGCCATGGCATTCAGCTGTTAACGCCGCTCTCGTTGCAAGGAGGCTAGTTTTGATGGCATTTAACTTGCTGTCTAGAGCTTAACAAATCAGCGCCATTCATGAGCTTAAGTAAACTGAGCTGATTTATAAATTCACAGACCTGACGCTGCATCATAAGAAGCGAGACAGTTTTACCCGAATTATTAGAAGCTTTTCGGTTGGATATCAGGTATGGCAAATTGCATTTTACTACTGTGATATTTTATCATTGTGATAGTCCTGCATCACACAAGTTGTGTCTAAAGCCTCTGCAAAGCTGAGGCTATGGGGAATATTCTTTCAGTCAGCCGCAGCAGGATCCCATTTCTACCTCCCTGCTTTATTTGTAATCAGCTAACGTGCCATGACTGTGTGCACTTCTCAGCCATGGAACTCAGCTGAGGCTCACAGCTGAGCTACTGCGCACTTAGTCCCTTCAAGTGTTTTATTTAATTAATCATCTATTTCATTGATATAGTACTTCTTCACATAACAGTGTTATGATTTTGTTACAGTTTAACTGTAATATTTTGGTGCTTTAATTGCATACAGGAAAGCAGGTTTTTGTGAAGGAACACAATTCTGTTTATTTTATGGAGTAAAGCCCAGTTCAAAAGCTGCTGGAGTTAATGCAAAGATTCCAGCAGATACGCTGCCTTTGCTAAACTACATACAAATGAAAAGTGTTCCATTTGTAAACTCTCCCATTTCCTCTTTGAATTGACACATGCAGATACACACATGAAAATTAATGGCCCTACACTTCTCTGTTATTAGCAAACACTTTTTTTTTTTTTGGGGGGGGGAAAAGATGCTAAAACCTATCTTCTGTGGAACAGTGTCTTAATTTTCTGTATAACACTCAGTTTTCATCTGCTGATCAGAACTGATCAGAAAATCTGTGGGCGAAGGCAGATGTGTTGTCAGGAGTGACATTCTCTGACCATGTAATACGGTTACAGGTTAATGTAATAGAGGAAGGCTAACACACAGCCCCTGCGCTGTAGAGCATATTTTTAGAGAAATATTGTCTACAACAGAAAAGGATGCTGGGAAATTAGATCCAAGAAGCTGAATGACAATGCAAAACAATACTGTTTTTTTTACTTACTACCAATACTGGAAATACTGGGTATACCTGTAAAGAAAGAAAACACAAAAAAAGTACAGTTAGCTGTTTGCTGGAGTTGGCTGAGCTATTACATCTATGATTCTGAAAACAATTTTCTCCTAATTTTCAGAATATTATATCAATACATAGTTGAACTCAGGCAACCGCCAATAATGTACCCAGCCCTTTACAAATGCAGAGTCTTTAGATTTTTCAGTACGAGGCTGCAGGGACCACTAAAATGTATTGACAGATGGGTATTTCTGGGACCTACACCAGCTCTCTGAACTTCATGAATTTGTTCAGAACAGTTTTGTATTTCAACTTACCAGCCATTACGTTTAATGCTCTAGATAAAAATATCAGTCATGCATGTATTATGCAGATCTAGGAGAATAATTTAACCAAGGGATAGATGCATTGCTAACTGCTTTGGCCAGCTGCTTAAATCAGTTGATACCTTCTGTTGCATTAACTATATATAGCTATTTTTACCTCTTTTACCTGACCGTTATCTAAATTAAGCTATGGAAAAGAAATGTAATTGAGTGAAACAATCTAATGCATTAGGTTGGTCATATTGACTAAGTCTCCCACTGATTTCCTCCGCCCCACCCCATCCCCGGCTTTCACTTTAATTCCTAAGCTGAATTAATGCAAGGAAACCATTCCAGAGGCAGGTGAGATTTACCAGAAGAGGTGGGGCTGCTGAGGAGTAAAACTCCTCTGCTGCATTAGCAATGTGGGATCTCATGCTGCGTGATGCAGTCCCAACACGTAGCTTGTTGTCAGATCTGCCCTGAAAGGTGTTTACCACAAAAATATAGACATTAAATCTTTCCTGAAATGCCACTTTCTTTAGATTAAATGGCATTGCTAATGGCACTACTGCTAGTCTCTTGGGTTAAAGCCACAAATTGCAGATCAGTACTTAAATCCTGGATATTTGCATCCTCTCAGTTAAATACAGTTTGCCTTTTGTAAGTTTTATTGACTTTTGATGGCATGCATTTGACTGCAGAAATCTGTCTGCTTCTCCATTAAACATCTGCTATACTTCTTTCAACATCTATCTTGAAGTTCTGTCTTACTCAGAGATGGCATGGACCTCATTCTGCAATTAAGCAAACTGGAGCAAAGGAATGTCTTGGGGATAAATGATATTCACTGTAAGCAAGGTTGTAGAGCCAAGTTGGGAACTTTTCTAACTCATGGCATGGCTAAGACAATGCTGAAGTAATTGCATTTGCAGAATGGCAATCATAAATAGATCTTCTGTGTGTCATCACATCAGTCCTGGGGCACATGTCAGAATTGCAGCTTTCTGGTTTCATACCCTATGGAACCTGCGGTCTGGCAGAGCACCAGGCACCACACTGGAGACAGCACCTACTGCTAACTGAGCCCCACACGCAGATTTTGTTTGCAAACTTAATTATTTCTACTTCTGCTGAGATTAACATGTATTTTCGAAAATTTTAGAATCATGAGTTATTAAAAGCTAAAAAAAAATAAAATCATCATAAGAGAACAATGCTGTTATAGTTCTAAAACAAAAAGTGCTTTTTCAGTTAGGATAATGTAAGAGAACTTCTATCTCTTTGTCTTAAATGTCAAGAAGGCAATCAATTTTCAAATAATTTTCCTCAAAGTTTCAATAGCAGCTTGTTTACAGTTTTGCAAGTCCTTGTAGCTGTTTTAAATTAGCAGGATTCGTTTCCCTTTATACACTGATGGAACCTGCACAAGTATTAGATAAAATACAGATACTGTGATACTGTGTTCTCGCACTCGCACTTCCACTGTGAAATGGTATTTGTATTTCCTCTGGGTATACTTCCCCCGCCTCAAACCTCTCTCTCTCTCCTACACGCACATACAAATATCCTTTCCTTTCTCTCCTGAACAGATTGTAGCAAAGGGAGAGGTTTTCCTGCAAGTCTGCTCTCCTCATTTGACTGTATTTCAGAATTTTCAATGAATTCATAGTGATAAATGCTTCCTGGGCAGAGAATAATGAAAACAAGATGCCTGATAGCCTGAAGGGCTTTGTATTAACCTTGCAAAGTGGTCTTCAGGTTCTGTTTGAAAAGTTCTTTTACTATTTCCATAGAGCTTCTTGGGTTGGTGTGATCTTCTCTAACCAGCTTGATTTTTGTAACACCAGGTATCCCTGTGTGTGGTGACTGGCCTTGATAGTGCACTACTTTATGCCCTTTCTGCTAAACAGAGTGAGAATGGCACTTCTAAGTTTGTCTGGAAAACAGCTGGTTATGTAGGGCCACAAAGCAGGATCTATTAACACTCTGTGAAAACAGCACATACGATGGGAAAATTATTCTTAGTATGAGTCGTTTTGTGAGCTCCAGAGTTACACATTGAGGCTAGCTCTTGAATTCAGCTGAGCTGTATCTGGTGCAAGTCCTCAGGTAATGAGGCACAGGAGGTGTGATTCTGCCTCTCCCCCGGTCAATGTGGAGGCATGCCTGCTCCCGTGGCACCACCGCCGGGGACACCAACAGCCTGCGGGGAGTCATCCCACTGCTGCCGGCCCTTTGGATGGAACCGGTACGTTACGTGACGTGGATCATTTCCAGTCAGCATTCTACTGAAATCTGTGAGTGCTTTGCAGCAGTGAAATGATGTGAGCAGGGTATAGAGAGCGATGAAGAATCAGGCCCATTACTTCCCTTGATGCTCAACTCTATTCAGCTAGACATAAAGAGTAAATAAAACAAGTGATTGCATTTACGCATATTCAGTTGTTAAACCAAAGCAATGTTCAGTCTAAATTATCTTCTAGTTGAAATCACTGGGATGGTTATTAATGGTAATAGTTTTATAGTGGGGAACAGCAAGCAAAGCATGCAAAGAAAGTACAGGGGTAGCTACTGCCCCTGAAATGGCGAACACTGCAGAAGAAAGTTTCTAATACTACTGATTATTTTTGACTTAACTTGAGGGTGGTGGTTTGGTGTATTACATGTTCACTGTAAGTGCATCTAAATATACATGCATCGAGAGAAAAAAAATCTGGTGTTTTCCTTTCATACGATCTTCTGCATCTGCCCTGTAATTTTCTTGTTTCCCCTTTTTTCCAGAAATGGGTTGGTTTAGCTGTTAGCTACCATGGAGCCGACTATTGAAAACAGAGAAAAAAGCAAATCAGATGCTAGCAAAGACAGCAATTTTTTTTATTTCTTCTATAGTTTGTGTCAGCGTGAAATCCGTAACACAAAGGAAGAGCACCAGGCTTTCGGTGAGAAGCATCACACTGCTGCTTCCAGTCTCAGGGCAGGTCGTCCCCTCCAGTCCCTCTTACCACCTCCATCATCAATGCCTGGGTGTGCTTCTTGCCAGCTGCGCAGTTAATGCAGCCAGGCTGCATCCCTTCCTGGGCAGGGAGTACATGTGGGATGAGGGAATTATTCTGTCAACTCGGTCCTGGCTGCCATCTTTCCCATGGGCTTCTCTGCCTCTTCTCTGTCCCAAGTTGAACGTGCACCTGCCATATGACAGGGAGCCAGGGACAGGTTCCTGCTGCTATCAAAACACTACACGCAGCTTGCAGCTCACTCGTGTTCAGGGCAAGTGTCACCAAGAGCTCCGTGAATTACCTAGGTGAGGTGAATACAGCCCAGACACTGAGAATCAAGACTGCCTCCCACGAAGACATGGTGGGACACGATAGTAAATAATGCAGTGCAAGTCTGGATTCCTATTAATTGCTGATCAAAGCTGCGTGAAAGCTTTTCTGACAAAAGAGACGTTCTTATAATTGCACTCTACACCACACATTCTAACTTTTAAAACACCTTTAACAAAATATAGAGCTTTCCATAGCAAGGAGGGCTGTTAATGCCACATCTGATCTTTTGCTAGAATATCTGTGCTGCAACATGACAGCACTCCCTGCAGTGAGTCTTTCTTCCCTTTGCAAGTCCTCCACGGAGGCATGATTGCTATATCAGATCCTCAGCATCAATTTCAGAAGTTCTGAATTCTCTAGTAATTTAAAGCCCTGAGAAGCTGGAGGAACCTAGCATCTTGTAATCCCTCAAAGGGAGTGATTGTTATGATCATAGGAGCGAACTTTTCATGTACTGCCAAACCTGTAGTCAGCCAAAGGATTGCACACAGTGAAAGACACAATTCTCAGGAAATTTCGCATGTTTCATTGCAGGAGCCCTAGAACTGCTACTGCTAATTTTGCAGTTGCTTGCTCTGTAAAGATTGAAAATTTTTCAATTCGCAGAAAAAGAGCTGGGAACAATGAAGTTTGTTATCCTCCACCTCTGCTCTCCCAAGCAATATCGCCAAAACTAAATGGCACAGAGAAAACACTTACTTACTCATTTATTGGGTAACACCTTTTAAAATCTGCAATTTTTCTCATGATGTTTTAGTGACTCCAAACCAGTATTGAAAACTTTCTTTCTAGGAAACTCCCAGTGAGATCAAAGGATTTTTTTTTCAAGTAGTCATAATTTATTGATAGAGTATTAGATATTAGAAACTTCAAAAAGCCCGAAACTCAGACCATTTTTAGAACTTTGAGTATCTTATAACAGACACTTTGCCTTCCCATACTGCTGCCTAGGGACTAGAACCCTCCTTCATTGCTCCTCTTCACTGTACATGGCAAAAATAGAGTTGTTTGAAACCAGCAATGGATGGAAGCAATTCATTTCCCAGCAACAGATGCCATCATAACCAACACAACCAACCAACTCAGCAGGGTCACACAAGAGCATAGAGTGCTGAAGAACAATTTTTCAAGCCCCATTTAAAAAAAAATACAGCACGCGTTATTTATAGTGCATTGTTCTTTAGGTATGTACCTGCAATGTTTCTTACGGCCATTGCAACGGATACCTGGTTGGAGGGAAGTTAGTTTATCAGTTGCAGGTTTTCCTGACACTTCTGTGTTCCTGAATGCTCTTGATACACTACAGTTTTGCCCCCCACCCAAGCTTCCCAGTCTGACACAGTTTTTTGTGTGGTATCTTCCTGTGGCTTTATATCTT